CGCAGTAAGAATGCTTTTAGTGTTTTTAAAACTTTTTCCGAACTTCATTAGTGCCCAATTAAACCTTAACAACTTGCCAACAATATCAGGGAGTACACATAATAAGGGATTATAGCCAACATGATCAATAACGACGAACGACGAGGTAAACATTGCAGATGCGACATCAGAACGGCAGCCTAAATTTTTTAACACACAATTAATTAACTTGAAGGCTCTGACTGTTTGGTAAAGCAATGCACACATTTATTCATACAAGTGTCGATGCACGGTCTCAAACAATTGTAATAGTAATTAGCATTGTGCGTAGGCACAAGGATATTTTCGCACGTTTGCTGAACGCAGATTTGCAGGTACAAGTATGTCTAACAACTCTTCTTTAGTCATGCATGTGTACAAATACATTAGTTTAGGAGGCTTAATCAAGACCTGCTAGTACAAATATTTGTGTTACGTTTGAGGATTAGGCATTCGTTTTCAAAAATGTACTTTTAAATGCGTTCCATGGCAACATTTTAGTTTAAAATATTAGAAGGTCTAATTAAAGATACACGTGCCTGTATAAATCGAGTATGTGCAACTAGCTTTAGATTTTTGGGTGAGAAAAGAGATATCCATCCATTTTTTTATACCTTCAGTACTTACATCCAACAGCAAAGAAAGTGTATCCTTCTTTCTTCTCTACCTACCCTTCTGTTTCTTAGTGGCATCATTATATTGCTGACAACGAGGAGCCAAAGTAATGACATTGAAGACGAGAAGACATTAATGTAATGCCGAAACAGATAAGGCTACCGCTGCAGTCTTTAAAGATTTTTTCGGCACTCAAGCAAGCTTTTGATCTCAATAGCTCAGTTCTCTTATAGTGAATGATTTAAATCCCTTTTAAAATCTTCAATTGGACTTAGCTGCTGTTGAAGTAAATTGTGCCACAAATACATCATAATCGTTGTCGTCGCGGCTACTAATGCTGCTCGATATATGAAGGTGAACACTGCCGTCTATCATCGCATTAGTTGTAAGGCAATGTCGTGTCAAGTTGTGTACGGCCCTTCACGAAAAGATTCGATGTGACTTGAGATTCAAAGATTGTGGGGAGAATGGACAACATAAAATAATTAGAAAAAGGCTAGGGTAAAAGTGATCCTTATTTATAGATGATGACTAGAGGGAGTAGTACCAAAAGGTTTTCGATTAGGTTCGGTACCATTTAGTGGTAAAGCTCTCTTTGTCAGAAGCAACACCGTATTACGTGGCACTTTGCACGACAAAATTAAGTCATCTCACTTACTGTCCTTTTTATATCAGTGTCTGTGTGAGAAGAGGGAATAAACAGATGTTATTACAATCAAATGCTTTTTCTTAATGTACAAGCTTTGGTGTTTACAATCAAGTGTAATGGGGAACGCCCTTACCATATGGCTGATAAGACCTTATATTGACTGAACACAAGGCTGCTTGCTCCCGACGTCACGTCACGTGGCATGAGGAAGCGCAGAGAAGTAAGCATAACTAAGAGCTCTGTCTCACGAGAAGTTAAACTATAATTAATACATTTAGTTTCTTTGTAAATAGTCTTTGTCTTGATCTAACTCTTAGACTACAATCTCCCGTGTGGTTTTCTTGCTCGCCACCCATTGCGCTCGTCCAGCAGCGATAGGTGGGTAATTTGGTTGATGTAGTGTCAACATCAACCAAAAGTGGAGCACCTCAAAATATAACTCTCAAGGTTAATATTCCGTCAAGATCACCTCTTCGCGAGTGATGTGGATTAAAGATTATCTATAAAGAAAATAATTAAAATTGATACCTTCGCATCAATTCATTTTATGGTTCCCTTCCCGTGATATTAGTTCTGTAGCTTTTGCGTATAAATATGGTGCTTGTGTTAAGGTCGTCATTACTGCGACTAAATAACAACCGGATTTACAAGGAGGTGCAGCCCGAATATTGGGTCGACGACGTATGTGCTTCGAGAAGCTTATGGAAAGGGTAACATTTGAAAGAGATCTGCCGACTAGGCCAGGTTCAAGCCTATCTTCCAAGCATTCTCAGTACATCGCTGCCCCGTAAAGTAGAGGATAGAAAGGTGCCAACAAAGACTTTAATACTATCGCTGACCGCAAGCGCGGCCAGCTGATCTGCAATGTGCGACTGCCGAAGCGGCAGCAGGTGGCGAGTGTCTGGACACTAATTTGGTGACTGCCCCCATATACCGTTTGCGTGGTCCCTTGATTGGACGTGTGCGTATGCCAAAGTAGTGACGCGTGGCGCGAAGACGACGCCGATGTAAGTTCCCCGTGTTTACCCCCGCGCAACCTTGGGATGCGCAAGTAGTATACACGAGGTAAATTCCTCTAACTTCGGTTCCCGCAAGGAGGGGTTATGGCCGAAGGTGGGCGCTCGGAATGAGGGGATGAAAGGGGCTGGCTGCTGGCTGCGAGCTGAGTGTAGTTTTGGGAATGTACGCACAATTACCATTGGTCACGATTATTACTGATACATTTGTATGTACAGATAATAGCATATGTAGATTAGGATCGACATTTACAGGTTCAAATAATGGTAATACGATTTTCATGCTGCCACTAGTAGGTACCAATAAGTTGTACATGTTCTCTCCTCCATAACTTGAACCTATAAATGCACACGCACATATTTTTCTGGTTAGTTTTGTATGCACAACTTTTTTTTATTTTGTACGACGTGTGAAGCAATGCACACGGAGTAAGTAAAAAGTATGGGTAAGACGCTGATGTAGAATACTTTGCTAAAATACGTCATTGATGCCTTACCATTTTGCAAAGTCTCAAAGCGCTGTAATGTATGCTTTTACAAGCATTGGCGTAGTGCGCTCTTGGGATATTCTCGAACTAATGTTTATTTGTGTAAACTGCCTATAGAAATACTGTTATTTTTCTACTTGGATCTCATATGCGCCCTCCTGCAGCTTACCGGTAATCTCAACGCTGTACTGTGTCGTGGAGCTGTTTGATGTTTGATATACATTGAAAAAATTCGATACAATTCAGATAGATCCGTTATATGTCTATCGATACAAACTTAAGACCACTCTGCATACGTATATAACTATTTACCGTGTACACACCGCTCTAAATTCGTCACTTCCTAATGTAAGCCTTTTGCGGTAGCGTTTGCACGGCTGAACATAATAGCGGCGTGGAGCACAGTAATGCAATATAACATATTTATCAATGAATAGATGAACCAGAACAAATGAATTGGTGCGAAGTAGTACCTAATAGATCCATCCGATCGAAGTAATCAATTCTAGCGGTCGTAACACTTCATTGCTTACAGAAGCTGTGCCTCATGATGATCCATGGCATTTCGACCACATCAATTTTAAGCTTTAAAACATGAAGGAGCAGTATGATACGGTACTGAATGCGTGGACATCCAGCATTTACTAAGAAGACAACCCATTGAACAAAGGAATTGACGCTACATCATATTAATTCCCCCCGAAAGTGTTACAAACGTGCATAAGACTGGGCCGTGTGCGTATGTGACTGCAAGCGATATAGTGCAATGAAGCAGTGTGGACATGTCGTGTACACGCCAGGACGGATGTAGTAATTCTTTTAAGTGAAACGTGTGACGTCAACGATGACTTCGTCAAATGTTAGTGTGCAAATATGGACAAGGCTCCACTTGTAGCGTGGTTAGCATGGTCGAATTTGCCGCCAGACGTACTTTGTTCATGACGTGCTATTCTTACCTAATCCGTCACGCAAGTGTCTTGGCGTAACTCATTGTTGTTGTACCACCTCTCGAATGCACTACTATAGCAGTAAGGGGTACTTGCACCTACTAAATTATTGAAGCGTAGATGTCGGTTCCGGAGAGAAACTTCAAATTAAAGTTTGTACTGACGCGATCAAATAACTTCTTTACCATACTGTTCCAGTAGCGGAGCTACACAGCTCCTTAAGTCAGAGACGACTTAACGCTCACCGAGCAACTTAGCTCTAAAGAACTAGACTCGATGAGTCTACAAGCGTACAGCTTACGGTCCCTGTTTCAGGGGACCAACGATTTAGTGAATCGACAGCACATAGTGCTCAAGAGTAACTAGCTACCTCAAGGAGGTGTTGCTAACTCTTAGTGATCAAGGATTAACGATTAAAGAAGCCTCGCAAGGCACGTGTCTTTAAGATCAAAAGAGGAACTGAATTTATTTATACTTTTAAACCTATATAATATCTTAATTTTAGTATTACCTAATCTAGACACTTATGTCCCAAGTTAGCACAACTAAGATCTCTCCTATCTGGTGGCTGATACCAGTCAGCCCCTATTGACCGACAAGATATTCCATATCTCTTTCAGTAAGGTATCATCCGTCTGTCTAAGACACAAAGTACCAGATAGCCCAACTAAGTGTAACCCCTTTACAGTTTCTCTAAGTCATTTACTAAGAAATGTAGATCTCTTGGTAGTGCGTCATAACACGCTGCTTCAGCGTCTCCTGGTGTGGAGCTGGACAAAGCTACTAGTTGATCCACCGGTTTATAAGCGTATAAGGTGTGGTGAGGTGATACGTGGAGGAGGGAAGTACAATCTGATTTGTACTCCCTACTGCTCCATGGAGTACGTAAAGGGCAACAACCATTTAAAATTATTGATTTTGAGTTTTGATCCAAGGTGGCTCGTGTAGGAAAACGGGGGGGGTCCGCTACGTCAGTCCCTAAGTGATTTTTTAAACTTTCGGTATCCCAGATTGGATGAAATTACAAGGCGTATAGATAATGACTACAACAAGACAGCATTCTGCTCATCAGCATAAATTGTATTTACGTTAGCGTCGTCGGAGTACCTTCACATCTTGCACTGCTGTGTGGCGTTCGGCCATAAGTGGAACAAAAGAACAACTTTATCAAGTGCATATTTAATGTTTAGTGGCGAGCAATATCGACTTGCGGTACCCGATCGTATGAAAAAGAGAATATGTGTTTACGCTGTGCAACCTACTGGCGCTATACGTTAGCTTCACTAGGGATATTTACTGGGGACGTCACATGAATGTTGTTGTACGCCTTGGCATATGCTCGCCACGCCAATCGAGGTCCGTCTACTCGACCTTTTGGACATTTTTGCTTCACGCCTAGATAGTCGTAGAGTTTTTTCATTGTTAAATTTTTCTCCAGCCAGAAATTGATCTGGACATCTTGCAAGTTCTTCGCCGCCGTCTCCAACTCCGGGACCTCTGCCGCTGTGTAAAACATGGACGCAAGTTGTCGATCGTGAAAGTGTTTCTTTAACTCTTTATACATGTCACCTGCCGCGCTAAGATCCCCCTTCTCCGGGTATTTTTCGGAAACAAGTTTCACGTAGATAAAAATAGCGTCGACAGCCTTAGGGGGGGACAGGTACGTCTTGCTGTCTCGATTTCACGTAGGGAGCAAAGGGTCGGGAGTCCCCTCCAGTGGAGACAGGTACGTCGTGCTGTTTCAGGTTGGGTACGATTCTGCGAAGAACGTACTCTGCTGGCTTTTCTTTTCTGACCCAACGAATCATCCTGCGCGGCAAGAGCCAAAACAGGTGCTTGTCTACGTCGAAAAGTGACTTCAGTGCTGCACCGAGGGGACGTACTCGATTCTCGTCATGCGGAAGGATCGCGTTGATTCGTAGTTGCTGCGGGTCTGAGACTTGGGAATGGTTTGCAGTTGACGAATCATCCAAAGTAGGGAAGATCGAACCGGAATTGTTCGATTCCAACTCTGCTCGGGCAACTGTGACGACGATGAATGCACTTAAAAGCACGAATGAGTAGAAGCGCATGGTCGATGATTCACTTGAGATCCGAAGTGCAAAATGAAGACTGAGCTGCAAAGGGGACAGAGAGTAAAAAGTTGCGTAGAGTGGTATGTAGAAAGTACTGCATGACTGTATGATTGCGGGAGTGACTGCGGAACTAGCACGCCGGGTATTGGATGGTTGAGAGCTGATCATTGTCCAGGCTTTTCCACGCAATGGTCACGAAGGATGCGAGCCACTCGCTTTCTATATCATTAGAATAGATCTGGCTCGCCTGCTGAATTCAACACTTTTAATAGTAGCTTAGCAAGACCTCTCCGTGTGACAGCTTGTATTCGGTATCTGACGACTCGGTGCATCTGGTATTCGGTTAGACACGACGTGATGATGTCCTACTGGTGTCCCGGCTATAAATGATCGCGTGATACAGCAAATGCGTGCGTCGATCGGGAATGAATTAACTCCAGTAATTTGTTGCTCGAATTCTGCCCTCCTTTTCTCAGACCATGTATGATGGGATCGACGCAAGCGTCATCATCTATGGCAGACACACCGTATCAGTGCAAAGAAAAATATGACCAGAGAGAAGCAAGACAGGAGCCTTTGCATAGGGTGTGTTCAGAAAGACGCCTGATTTAAACAAAAAATTAGGCGTCTTTTTGGACACACCCTTAACAAAAAACAGACGATGTCGAAGAATTCGTTGATAAGGAACGTAGCGTGTACAGAAAACATTGCTGTCACTTCAGAAGAGCACTCGACGAACTGAAGGGACCTTCGAGAAAAGGCCTGGCTGGACCATGCCACAAGTGTCATGTCAACGAAACTTCAAGACCACTCCTTCAATATAGGCAGAGCCATCAGTATTAAAACAGATTTGCTGTGGATCGTCGATATTGTTGGAACAGAATCATTCTTGGGGACATTGTGCACTTACCTTGATAAGGGATGACGTGCGGTGAAGTATGGAGTAGGAGATTCATCTTGCTTCTTATCAAATGCTTTCAATAAATGGACGATAGATTTGCGAGCCCGAAGTTAAAATTTGTGCGTGGGCGTAATGGAAGCTGAACTGTTTCGTAGCTACTTCTGGGCGTACTAAATTTGTAAGTGAATGACCGATCATCACATAATGGTCCTACAAATCGGTGACGGTCATAATCACCGAGATCATCAGGATCAGGATCGATAAATTGGTACATGACACTTCAGAGCTATACTTATCCGGAGGTAAGTCGTTGATTTACAATAACTTTTAGAAATCTTTAACGATCATAGAGTTCGGTGCGCTCGTTACCCAGCGGAGGCATGCTTTGATACTGGAAAGCAGCTAGTATGACTATTTCACCTAATTTGGTTGCAGATATCTGATCTGTCCGAAAGTAAGAAACGATAATGTCACTTGCGACTCACAGTAGTTGTACGAGACTTAAAGCCTTTAGTGACGATTTCAAGAATATCTAGCTCTTTTGGCTCCGACTTTATTGCGGACGTGCTCCTTGTATCCTCATCGGCTCGCCAATGCTCCCAAGTATTGCTACAGCTCGGAGTTGCCACATGCTTATTTCACAAAATTTGTTGACGCCGCCTCGACTAAAATGTTCTAGTGTAGGAACGTTTCTTGATACCGTCGTACCCACAAGCAAGTGATACAAACGCTGATTATAACACGCCACAGTATCTCTTGTACGTGTGCGTACTATCGAAATAGATGGCCCGTGTGTGTAGCTTTAATAGCTCCCGTGCCACTCTGTGTGTATTTTAAAGAAGAGGAGGACGCGTATCCGTTCTAGCTCCCAGCGCTCTTACGTTGAGCAAGCTATGTACATATGCCCCCTCATTATCATGCGGGTTCGTATGGGAGATGTGCTCTACCGTCTGCTTCCCGAATAACAGCACTGCAACTTCCAGCTCCAAGTGGCATCTATTCCCCCTGTAACATATACGGAATTCTCTTGCCGCAATGTCATCCGGTATATGCCCCACATCTAGTACTCCGTGAGCTTATAGTTGTGAGCCTAAACTGTTGTTGTCGTCGGTTACATACTGTGGCTTACTACGCACTGTCTTTTGCTGCGTCACAGAACTTTTCTGCTTTTCTAGTTAGCGCAATTACCCGACCCTATGGACCCATATAGCGGTTGTTTCTTCAAAGTCGAAACGACGTGTAGATTTGCAGCATGGTCGAGCGCGCTCAAGGACAATCCAGAGATGAGTAAATACGCATCGGATACTACAGACCGCATCAATTTGGCTCTGTCAAAGCGTCTGGCACTCATTCGATCACAGTTGACGGCTCTCTCTTTTTATCGTGGATATCTTACGGTAAATTGCGAACTTCTTCGCCATACCATAATGATACTCTGCTGGTCCAATTTTGCCACAATCTGTCTGATGCGGCCCGTCGTGGAGGATCTTTAGGCGCAGGCCTTGGTCGTTTGCGCTTAGTGGCGACACAACAGTCGATGATGAGCTTGGAAGCTGCTGCAAGTGTCCGATCTCTAGGTTCGCTTATTGTAGTCGCTTGCTTATAAAGAGCAGCTCGATTTGTTGGTGTGTGGTTGATCAACCTCTGGAATTAAGAGTAGCCTCAGACTCCAATTTAAGGTATTCGTAGCTGTGCAATACAGGGCCTAGTCGTGATAAACTTTTGAACGTGAACATGTCTTCCTTGTAAACTTAAGCCACCAGCTGTCACTCAAAGAAGGTAAGAGAGGTTAAATCCATTTGTGTCAATAACGCCCCCGAGTTCCAGCAATAATTCTTCCGGTGTTAGTCAAGTACAAGTCATTATCTGTATCTCTTACTGTACTTGTACTTCCAGTTTGTGGCAGCCACGATCCTAGTAACCTGCTATGTAACGGGGTGAATCGTTACATAACAATTTATAAGAAATTGTTAATAGAATATAACTATAAGAGTTATATTCTCAGAATATTGTCATAAGGACAATATTCTGTAGCACTTCCAAGTAGTTCCTAATTGGTTGATATAGGCCATTATATCAACCAACGAAGACGCGCCACGACAGACGCACGCAATGAGTGGTGAGCAGATAACTGATTTACACATTTGTATTTAGACATAGTTAGATGAAGATAAATAGTGATTTATTGCAGACATTAACTATTATAAATACAGTTCTACTTTTTACTCTAACCGAGTACTCGCTTCTTCTTACCGTCTTCCTCTGCACGTACGAGTGTACGTGAAGTTACGAGGCACCGCCTTATTCTGTTATCAGAATAAGTAGCTTGTACTGTCACCAGTACAAGCTTCAGGGTGCCCCGTTACACCTGGTAGCACTTCGTAGTCCGTCCAAGGACCGCGTTCACATCCAACATGAATATGTTGGATGATGAAGATGACCAAAGCTTTCACGCTACGCGTGACGGCTACTCCCATTTGAGCGATGTCGAATGGGATGCGGTTGAACGAATGGGTTCGACCATGGGCATCCATGCTGTTAGCGTCATGCTAGAGGCTCTCAATAGAGACGCCCAACATGCTACTATCGCCAAGTTCATCCAAAATGAACTTGACGCTGAACGCGAGAAAGTAGCCTTGCTTCACCAACAAGGTTCTCAACAAGCAGAGTTGTTGAGAGAACAAGGTGCTCAACAGTTTGAACTGTTGAGACAGCAGCAGGCTGCTGCTGGCGGGTCGATGCACTCGCGTCGGCCCGAGACTTTGAAGATTGACATCTCAAAGTATAGGGGGGTCGAAGAAGACTCCCTCTTGAGATGGTTCGTCGAATTGGACGACGCTATAAGGGCGCGTCGCATCGACGACGGGGATACGCAAGTTGCATTTGCCCAGTCAAATCTGGCAGGACGTGCCAAGACTTGGGCACTGGGGCTCAAGCTGCACGACCCATATGCGTTTGGGTCGTTGGAAGTCTTCAAGTCGCGGCTCAGACAAACGTTTGAACCGCCTAGAGCTGAGTTCAGGGCTTGAACCGAACTCTTGAAGCTCAAGCAGGGTAAGCGTGATGTGCACGCTTACGCTCAACATATACGACATCTTACGAGTTGTATAAGTTCCAATCCAGTGGATGAACACACGTTGGTTTCGGTGTTCATGCAGGGTCTTGCGGATGGTCCCGTCAAGACTCACCTGTTCCGGCTTGAACTAGATTCACTAGAACAAGCCATTTCCATTGCGGAGCAGGAAGACTTCAGTCTGAGACAGGCTCGCGCCAGCTCGACATCATATCGTCAACCGAGACGATATGACAACGGAGGTCCAGAGCCGATGGAACTCTGTTATGTAGAGAGTGAGAAGGTTCGCTCTACAGGCTACAAGAAGTTGCAGAGATGCAACAGATGTCAAAAGACAGGACACTACGCTTACGAGTGTAGTGCCCCTCGTCCAGTGTCTCGCGACACTGGGCGTAGTGACCGTCCACCCATGAGAAAGGGGCAGGGACGAGGGTCCGCAGTTGGTGCAAAGACGCAACAACGGGATGGACCGTCAAAAAACGGACAGGATCAGTAGGTGCGGAGCACCCTACTGATCCAGCAACGTCAAGAGAATTTGTAGGCCTCTTGATGAAGGTTGCTCCCAACACACAGACATTGTGCGTTGCTGCTCTAGGTAATGAGATCTCACTCATTACCTTGAAACTCGAAGTGACGAATAAGTTGTCCCTTCGAGCTCTAGTCGATTGTGGGGCGTCCAACAATTTTGTGCGACGCCAATCGCTAGAAGATGGTCACTTTAAATTCAGTGAATGTGACACACCTCCTACGAGGATGACGGTACGTCTTGCGACAGGCGCATCCGTAACCGTCATGAAGCGTATAGTGAAGATTCACTATACGCTAGAAGATACCCAATACGACGATGACTTTATCGTATTGGATTTGGATGACAAATTTGATGTCATCCTTGGAATACCGTGGCTCAGAAGGTACGAACCACGGGTAAACTGGCAACATCGGACAGTAACGATGCCTGCCGCTTGTTCATCAGATGGCCATCTGATGAACGTTTTGGAGCGTCCACAAGCGTGTGGATGTACTACGAGTGAGTGCGATGGCCTCACTTGTGGTACGGTCGTTAGTACGACTGCACAAAACCTTAGTGTACCAAACGGTTACACTTCGGAGCAAAGTTCCGGCGGCTGTGAGGAAACACAGGCTGCGCCGAAGGTCCACCACTCGAATAAGTCGGGTGGACTGGGACAAAGATGTATCCCTAGAGGGGAACATCTAGAAGAGAAACAATCGATCGCTCAGGTTAAGCGAAACGATAATCCTAGATCGACTGGAGAGTCTTTCGTAGAGGATCTCGCTGTGGTTGCGCAACCCCAGCTAGAGGAAGTAAAGGGAATAAGTCCCAAGATTACAAATACGGCGGAAATAAGTTCCCCGAAACCCGCGGGAATAAGTCCCCGGGAAGACGAAGGAATAAGTCCTTCGAAGCCTGAGGGAATAAGTCCCCAGGAAATGACAGAGACATTGAATGTCATAGTCAATAACGGATCATGTGTAGGCGCTTATACACTTGATCTGATTGCGCCTCCGAAGTTAACTTCGGAGATCACTCAGTTGCCAACGCTCGAACATAAAAGGTTCTTGCGTGATCTGCGTAGTGGCAAAGTCAAGCAGATCTGCATACTCGTCGCTGACGACGAGTATGTAACCGACATAAGGTCAGCAACAGTGTTTACTGAGAACGAGAGAGTTCTCAGTAGTTCATCTATGGACGAGAGTGTCCTAGATGAAAAGACACGAATTGAGCGATATGAGTCCCAATCATGGGAATCGCTCAAGGAAAACCCTCTCTATGAGGATTTGGTTGAATTCAAGGATGTATTCCCTGAAACTGTTCCGTGCGAATTACCGAAGGATAAAGGTATTCGACACGAAGTCGAGCTTAAACCAGGCTCGAAGTACTGTGTCATGAAGCAGTGGCCACTGCCTCGTGAACAAGTACTTGCGATCGACAAGTTCTTTGCCGATCGTTTAGCAGCGGGCCATGTGAGGGAATCAACTTCCCCACATAGCTCTCCGACCTTCTGTGTGCGAAAAGCAACAGGAGGGTGGCGGATAGTGCACGCGTTTAACAAATTGAACGCTGCAACGGTACCGGCTCAGACGCCGATACCGAGGAAGGACGTAATCATTGATGGTATGTCAAAGAGTACCATCTTTTCGTCCATGGATTTGATGGATGGCTTCTATCAAATCCTAATGCGGGAACGGGATATACCCTATACCGCAGTTAGCACGCCTAGCGGCATGCTCTGGGAATGGCTAGTAATGCCACAAGGGCTCAGTAATGCCCCTGCCACGTTCAACAGGTGTGTATCACATCTGTTGAGGCCAGTACGAGAATTCGCGCCGAGTTATTTCGATGACGTATTCATCCATAGTCGAGCTATGGATGGAAAGTCGGACGTTGAGGTTCACAGGTACCACGTCCGACAAGTTCTTACAATCATGCGAAAGCATCAATTGTATGCTAACCTCAAGAAGTGTATATTTGCAGCAAGCGAAATACCACTTCTTGGGTGCATCGTTGGTAAGAACGGTGTACGTCCTGATCCCGAAAAGATCAAGGCGATCACCGACTGGCCTGTGCCGGTCGATGTCAAAGGTCTTCGAAAATTCCTTGGGCTAGCGGCGTATTTGCATAAGTATTCACGCAATTACGCCGAGATGACTGTACACCTCTCTCGTTTGTTGAAAAAGAACGAGAGGTGGTTATGGAACGCTGAATGTCAACGCTCCTTTGAGGGTATCAAGCAGAGCTTGATACAATCCCCAGTCCTAGCAATAGCCGATCAGGACAGGCCATTTCATGTGGTCTGTGATGCCAGCGATTTCGCAATCGGCTGTGCATTAATGCAGTACGACCTTGAAGGCGTTGAACGCGTCGTCTGCTATCAGTCGCGTCAGCTGCAACCAGCTGAGCGGAACTATCCAGTGCATGACAAGGAACTCCTTGCCATGAAGTATGCACTCGCGAAGTTCAGAGTCTATCTATTAGGAGATAGACCCTTCGTTGTTTACACTGACCATGCGTCCTTACGCACGGCAGTGAACAGCCCGCACCTTTCACAACGAATGGCGCGGTGGTTGTCATTCTTTGCAGAATACAACTTTACGGTCGAGTACAAACCAGGACGACTTAATGTCGTCGCTGATGCACTCTCACGTCGTCCCGACTTTGAAACAGTCGCGAAACCCAACAGTGAGACAGTCACTGTTGCGGTTATGACGTCCTCAGTTCCATCTACAACGTTGTATGATGATGTGAGGCGGGCATACGCCCAAGATGGTGAGATAGTGAAGTTGTTGTCACATCTCTCCCAACCATCTCGAGAATCGTTGAAACGATTGTCGTCTGCGTATCGATCTGCATCAGATCGATACACTACTCGTAACGGTTTACTGTACTATACAGCCGTTTCTGGTGACACACCACGTGTTGTCATTCCAGATGATACTGATCTGCGTTTGCGGATCATGTTCGAGTATCACGATGCTCCTATAGGAGGACATCGTGGCCGAGAGAAAACATATCTCACGGTAAGTCGAGACTTTTACTGGCCCCGCCAGTATCAGTTTGTGCGAAAGTATGTTCGCGCATGCGAAGTCTGCCAACGAGTGAAGTCAAGTCCTTCACTGCGTGCACCTTTACAGCCTCTACCGGTTCCGGCTGAGTGCTGGGAATCCATCTCAATGGATTTCGTCTTCGGGTTACCCAAAGACGCACGCGGGAATACGGGTATTCTCGTATTTGTTGACAGATTCAGCAAAATGGTACACCTTGTGGCTGTACCAGAGACAATCACGGCAAGTGGCTGTGCTTGTGTCTTTATTGACACCATCTTCCGACTTCATGGGTTGCCCCGTGAACTCGTATCAGACAGAGATCCACGATTCACTGCTGATTTCTGGCGTTCCGTGTTCAAATCACTCGGAACGCGCTTGAAGATGTCAACATCTGATCACCCAGAGTCAGATGGTCAGACGGAACGTGCCAATCGTGTCCTTGAAGAGATACTTCGAGGATACGTACACTCCTTTAAGAGTTGGAGTGAGTTTTTGCCAATGGTAGAGTTTGCCATCAACAACTCGGTGCATGCGTCCACGACACATACACCGTTTTACGTGAATGGCTTGCGCCATCCGCGTGTACCCACCTTACTAGAGTGTAACTCTGGTTTAAGGGGGGAGGGACTCGCGCGAGCAAAAACCGATTTGGTTCACGCTCATCACGCTCTGACGAAGAAGTCATTGCGTTTGATGCCGATATCGATAACATCGATATCGAAGAAGATGATGCCAGTGAGAGTGCGGAAGCCCTCACTGAAGACAATGATCCCAGTGAGAGTGCGGAAGCCCTCACTGAAGAAAAGGTTGTTGTCGCTGCAGTGCGCTCACAGCACACTGAAGCTAACGAGTCATCAGATGAGTTCATACTGGCTCGTGAAACGGTAGTCCGTTTTGTGCAAGACTCCATCGCCGAAGCGGTGGATAAGCAAAAGCAAAACGCTGACAAGAATGGAAGGGCAAACACTCTTTTATTTAATAAAGGTGACTTAGTCCTACTGTCTACGGTTAATCTACCAAAACATGTAGTGACTAACTTGGGTAGCAGTAAACTACTACCCAAGTACATTGGCCCATTTCGTGTATTGCACCGCCTAGGCAATGCATACACGATCGAGTTACCACGTAAGATGCGAACGCATCCCACGTTTTACGTTGGTCGGCTTAAGCCGTACCATCAGTACGCTGCTTCTTCCGATGAAGAACGCCCTTGCGCTCAAGCATCTCGCAGAGAGCCTTGTGCTCCCGATGGTGGGCATCAACAAGGGTCTGAAGAGCAGTTATCTCAGCCCGAGACCGATCAACAATCCCACGAGCTACCCTTAGCTCGTCACGAAGAGATGTCAGAGATCTCTCGTTCTCAAGCTGAGCAAAGGCAAACTCAGCTCGATG